GGAAGTAAGAAATTTTTTGTTTGAAAGAAAAATATATTTAATAAATATTTTATTCTGTTTTATATTATTATTTATAATTTTTGTATATTTGTGACATTAAAGAGATGGAAAATCAACAATTAAGAGATTCAATGTAAGAGCTATATTTTGCTAAGTTACTAAACAAAGCATTGAAATTTTTTAAAATCTTCAAGATGTTATAATAGAAATGAAGATTCTAAAAAATAATATATTTTTTAAAAAATATATTGCAAGATACAACACAATAGATATCATAATCTTAGAAGAGATTTTCAATATTTGGTGATAATATTGGAGGTAGAAACCACTATTAATAGTTTTTCAAATATTTTATTTGAAAGAAATAATAAAGGCCTTAACAATAATCAAATAATCAGGTAATCTTTTTGCTCTTATATAGGGCATTATTAATTGCTTAGAGTACATATCAACCACCTTTTATAGAAAACAAAGATCAAAGTATGTAGTTAATATAATTTATGACATTTTAATATTTTCAACATGTTTTTATTTTTCTTTTTGTAACTTGATTTTAAATAAATAAAATAATATAACAAACAACAACATTGGCATTGGTAACTAAAATGATAAAATAAATTAGGTAGAAGAAAAATTAAGTAAACTTTTTGAATAGAAATAAAGATTATAAAATATATATTATATCTTTAGATTATTTTTAATATTTTATATGGTTTTTTAGCTTATCTTATTAGTGTTTTAATTTTATAAACATTTATTGGAAGCAATATATAACTAATGTGTGGGCTTCAAGCCTAGTGGTTTTTAATAAGCTTTTTCAAAGCCTTTTTGATAATTATCAAAAACTAAGACTATCTTCAATCTTATTTATACTTTTATTATATTTTGGTCTTAATTCAAGGTTCTCTAGTTTTTTAGTATTTGATAATAATTATTTTAATTCTATTTTTATTAGTTTTTTTATTAATCCATAAGTAAATTAAAATTTTAAGATATTTTCTAGATTCATGTCTTTTATACTTAATGTGGTATTAAATAGAAAATTTTAGAAGCTATGGTTTTGTATTCTACTTCAATAAATTATAAATGGTTTTTAAAAAATTAAAAAAAATAAAAAGAACATTGAATGTAAACAAATAAATATAATATATTAATAAAAAAGATAAAAAAAAATAATTACATATTTGAAGAAGAATACTTGTGAAAAATATTAAATATTAAATATTAAGAAAAAAAAATTAAGTATCACATAGTAAAAACTCATTCTTATTACTATACTTTATTTTTCTTTTAGAAATAAGTAATATGAATAAAATAAAAAATATAGTCAAAAGCACTATCTCATATATATTCTAATACATCTTTATAATCTAAAATAAATAATCTAAAAAAAATTTATTACATAAAATATAAATAATAAATAATTACATATTAAAAGAATCAAAAATTGACATGGAAAACAAATCTTTACAATGCTTTAAAAATAAATTTATTATTATAAAAGAATATTAAAGATATTTAAACTTATTGAATCATAAATAAAAATATTTTTAGATTTTTTGTATAATTTATATTTGAAGATAATTTTTTTGAAACCAAATTTTTTTTCAAATCATACATTAACTTCTTTATAATGTATTTCTGATTCAATTTTAGAAGTGTATATATGTAAATAAATTTACAGTGTTGTAACATATATTTTCATATACAAAATTCTATATTATTTCTATTACTAAAGGAGCTTAAGTTGGATAAATTCCACCTAAAGCTGATGAAGGTCCATGATTATCATTTATTATTAATAGAAAAGATATATAGTTTTTTATGTGCAACTTAAAACAAGTAAATCAAATTAAATTGGAAGCTCTTTGATACTTAATAAAATAACTTGTGAAATTTTCTTTTTTTCAGATGTACATGATGTAAAATAAAAAATTAATATAAATATATATATATATATATATATATAAGTAAACAAAATGATTATATTAGATAATTTATTACCAAGAGTTTTTTAGCTTTTCTAGGAACTGAAATATATGTAATATATTAGAATCTCATAATTTAACTAAAAATAGTAAAAAATAAATTTTTGAAATAATAGATTTCTAAAAATAATATACATAAATCAATTAACTAGTAATTTTTCTATATACATATATAAAGAAAAACACACCCATAAATCTAATTATATATAAACCAATAAATAGAAAAAAATAAATTTTATATTAATAAGATAATAAAAAAATTAAATTATATTTAAGGAAGTGTATGTGTATGTTTATATATATATATATATATATATATATATATATATACAAAAAAAATATTGATTTCTTTTATTTTTTCTTGAAAATAATATGATGAAGTAAATTTTTAATATATAATGTAGAATTTTTTACTTTAAAAATACATTCTTTATTGGATCTATTATAAGTATTTTTTAAATAGTTAAACTAAAGTAATAAAATCTAGATAGCTGGTTTTTTAAAACCTTTTATATGTAATTCTTTATTTCTATTTTATTTAAATATTTATGCAAGTTTTTTATTATTGTTACAATTTTTTATAATTTATAATGATAGTTAATAGCAATTATTATCCTTGATTTTTGGTGAAAATAACTTCAATTTTAATATATATATATATATATATATATATATATATAAAAGCGCCAGTTGGTGGAAAAAATCAGTGCTTATTTATTTATTTATATACAAATTTATTTATTTACTGAAATTTTTCTATTTTTATTATTTTGATACATCTCTCTCTCTCTCTCTCTCTCTCTCTCTCGCTATATATATATATATATATATATATATATATATATACATACATGTAAAGTGAATAAATGAATAAATAACTATAAATGATTAAATAAAAAATATATAATTCTTGAATGGATGCAAATTTTTTTAATGTGTTTTTCTTCTTATAAAATTGCAAAGTTAAAAATATTATCCAGAACTTTTTTTAAAAAATACATAATTATTTCCTTCAAGTAACATATATAATCAAGTCTAAATAAATTTTTTTTAAAAAAAATGTATTATTACACAAATTTGTGCTTGAATAAAAGAATGACTAGACTACATAATAAAATTTTAAGATTAAAATTAAAAATGTTTGCATTAACATGTATAAAGTGTTGATATTTTTCTTGTATTAAGAATTCCATTGGTGGGCTTTGCTTGCAGGTTTTTTAACACCCATCCTAGAAGGTTCTAAAGACGGGGCGAGGACAAGATTCTAAGCCCCTTTGTTAGCAATGGTGCAAGGGCAATGCTCTTGTGGGTCAATATAGGTAAAGTTTGGAGTCCGTTTAGGGTACATGCTAGGGTTAGCAACAGGGTTTTTGTCCAAACTTGGTATGGATGTTGTTGTGCCGCACAATGGGTGTTCTTCATGCTAGAATTGGATTTCTTGTGTGTTTTTTAAACTGCATTGTTGTGAGTCGAATTTATGCATATTTGTAACAAGTTCCAACATCAAGACATGACCATAATTATACTAAAACATTGAAATTTTAGCAATAAATATATATATATATATATATATATATATATGCATGTATGTATGTATGTATGTATGCATATAGAGTGAGACATATGCTTTTCATTTTCATTCTCAAAGATTCTTTCAAAACAAATTCAGAAGGAAATTAATAAAAAATGAAGAATCAAAAACTTGAAGAAAGTAAGTAGGCACACTCCACCTTGTATACCATTTTTAATTTTCTCACATCACAAGATTATAAATTATTATTTCATTCAATTATAATGATTTATTTTCACTATTCCACCATAAAATATATTGAATAATGTATACATCTTTCTTACATATGTGTATATTGTTTCAGACGTCTTTTTAATCTGAAATCAATTGGTACTACAATTAAAATGTTTAGAGCTTGAGTTGTGTAGATTTCATAAATACAATAACACATTTTAACATCATTACTTAGAACAGAATTTTTATTTGAAAAAAGTTTTTTAGTATAGTAATTATTTTTTTATTGAATTTTCATTTGAATTTTAAAAAAAATTAATGTTATTTAGTTGGATTGATATAAAATAATATTTAAAAAATAAAAGCATCCATAATGTGATTATTGACCTTTTAAAGTATTGCCTGATTTACCTTTATCTCTACAAGAGAAAATTGTTTCTCTTGTCTCACACAAAATGCTTCACCAATTTCATTGTCCATTAGAACATCTATGGGCTTGAATTTGATAACCAAATAAAAAAGGTTCCAATTTCTTATTTAGATAACACTACTAGCTTTTTTTCTTTTTCTTTTTATTTTTTAATTATTATAATTTTAACATACATAATTGACAATTATCTTTGTGGATGTATTAAGTATATATTACATTTATGTGTGAATATATATACATATATATATATATATACACACACACACGAAAAGAAAAGAGAATAATGAATACTCTTCTTATACTTTTATTCTTTTTATTATTTTTTACAAAAATGATAAAGAATCTAATCATTGTTATGATTGATCTTAAACAAAGGACATCACAAACCAGATTTTAGGGTTTTCAAGACCAAATCAAATTTCGTGTAACCATACAATAAAAAGGTTAAAGTCGTTCCTAGTCAAGTTTGCTTTCATCTTTGACCAAAGTGATCCATATTCTTCGTCTACTAAGGTCAATCATGGACCCATAAGTCCATGGTACCGTCAAAGGTGCCCTTGCAGTGTGAACGCACCCCTCTTAAGGATATTTCCCATCTTGATACCCGTTTACGTTTCTGAATTCGCACCACGATCATCCTACTAAGATCTGTTCTGGCCTCCAGTAGGCGCCGAGTATGCTGAGATGTGATCTGACGAGGCGGGAAGACGCTGCGTGTGATAGGTCGCGGTGAGGCGGCACTACACGCCAGCAGGGGGAAACGGTGCACATTACCCCTGTGAGAATGACTGAGAAAGTTGGCGATGACCTCAGACTGGTTAAAGTTGAACAACACTCGTAGACCCAAATGGTCAAATTCATACCAGATCTTAATGCATATCATTTGGCTGAAGGGATCAACTGAAGGGATCAACTCCAGAGAATACATTGAACTACTCACCATCCAGTTTGATACCTCTCGATAATCTCAAGTGGCGGACTTACCGTCCCCTTTAAACATTTACCGGCATCGCAATATTTACAGGTCTCCGAAGGGAAAAGCTAACGTCGAAGGACTGACCTAGCGGGATTCTTGAGTGTGGGATGATTGACGGCAGTGGGACATCCTTGATTGATCTGCAACCGCATCTGGAGCTTTATCGTCACAGAATTTGGATCAGCGGACTGCGTGTTTTCCAGTCACAGTAGCGAACAGTTTTTGCGGAAGTTCATTAGAGGTCTTTTCCAAGGCTGCATTCCGCAGAGCTTGAAGAATCTGGAATCGGTTGATGGAGTATCGCCCCCCGTGCAGACAATAGATCTCTTTTTTCACAGTTGTGCATGAGTTGAGATTAGAATTTTTGAAGTTGTGTGTGCTTTTGTGGAATCTGTTGTGTTTTGCGAGTGCTGAATCCGGGATCTCCCACTGGGACTGGATGGAGATTGAAGCCACCCAGCGATGGAGTATTTGGTTTCGACAGGGGTTGTTGAAAAGGTCATATTCGGTGGTTTCGTAGAACGGAGGATTGGTGGGTGAGAATCGTGGGATGAAGAAGAAGGATGCGCTGGAACACATGACAGCTGAGCCGAGGTTTTGCTTTTTGCTCTGCCTTGGGTTTACGATTCTCCCCTGAGTCTACGATTGAGGATGAGAGTGACGTTGTTCTAGAGCGGCGTTTCGTGTGATTCAGACGGAGGTTTCGTCTCTTATGTAATTGTAGCATATCCTCTCAATCAATCTATGCGGTGATGTGTTATCACCTGATTACATAGCAAGCGCTTCGTTTGTAATCCAACATACTCGCTAATTTTTCCACAGCGAATGGCCATGGGAAGCTCCGGAAGCATGAGTAAGCAACCATGGCAAGAATGTAAGGACAACACAGCTTTCACGAAAGCGTGGAATTCTAAGGAGTCGGGGCCAGATTCTCGCGCCGCTCAGCATAGGTCCAGAGTGCAATGGTGGCTTACTTTTTCTCTCTGCGCCAGCCTCGTCGTGGTTTCTTTGCTGTGGTTTATCTGCGCAATCGACAACACGGACGAGATCACGAAGTCGCAGCCTCAGATTTCGTTAGATAGTCGTGTGGAATTTTTAGGGTAAGCCTCTCTCTCACTAGAGAATCGTTTCGCGAAATAATCATCAAGTTTTTTAACCTTGAACCTTACTGGCTCCCCATTTTTTCTCATGTTTGATTTTTCGCAGTGAGCGATTGAAGTTGCGAGACGGAAAAACGATGGCAATCGACGACAAAGGGAGCGGGAAAATGCCCCGAGCTGCGCTGCTAGGAATGGGAACTATTCTTCGTATAGGGACGAGGGCGATGCAAGAGCTGATCGTAGCACATCTGACTGAAGACACCACCAGCGAGGATCTTCGGCTGTTCCTGAGGTCGTTGCATCGAAGTGGGTCGACTGCCAGAGCTGATGTCGTGTTATTGTTTCCTTCCAGTCCTATGCCCACGGCTATGGCGAAGGTCATCCAAGAAGAGGAAGAAAGCTTCCAAAAGTTGCTCAAGGATTTCGAAACTGGAGATACATCTGGTGATTCAGAAGGCTCTGCATCTACAGGTCCGTTTCTGGTCCTCTTCTGGGTAATGCTCAGCAACGACTTGTCTTTAAAACTCGGTTATTTCAGTACACATATAATGTAACCTGCACGTAAATGAGTATGTTCCTGGCGACCTAACCTACGAACTCGTGCGGAATGTCACAATACAGAGCTAAACTTCACAATATCTCCGTTTAATGCTATGGCGTTCAAGAAAGCCGGTGAGGAGAATCAAGAGATAGTTCAAGAAATTATATGGGGCAAACGGTATAATTTATCGGACAGCACCGAGGAAACCATTCCGGTGCAAACCAGTCCGGGCTCGGCATCTTGGGGTAGCATGGTGGCGTTTGACGTACAGGAATTGGATTCCCAGGACGCTTTGCACGGGTTCTTAGACGCACCTCCGGTGCAGCTCCGGCGCTGGGTGTGTTACGATATGTTACTTGGAACCATCAAGTTTCGCTACAGGAATGTGCTCCTCTCGCAAGTGAAAGGGGTGTATGTCCTCGGCGACGCTTTATCCACAACTCGCGAATTGCAAATCATCTATATTACCACCGAGGATACGGTCTGGAGAGACGCTAGACAAGAGCCAGTAGCGGAGGGCTTATCTCGAGGACCAGAAAATGGTTCGAATGACGTAGAGTTTCTCAAGTCAACAATTATTGATAGACTCATAGTTAGGAAGGAATCCATTCGAAGGGTCTTGAGAAATAGCAGCAATCTCAAGACCTCGGAGAATGCGGAAGGCAATGATCTGAAAGAGAGCAGCAACGAAGGTGTAACCGAGGATCCGAAAACCACGGAAGAGCCACTCCAGACGTGGATAAACGCCCCGGGTTTGATACAAAGCGTCTATGGAACCCTAATGTGGAGTAATCTGGATGAGTCTAACAAGCAGTTTGCGGTTGTCAGTGCAGCGGTGATCATGGGAGAGGTGCACTATGTCCGAGGATTAGCCATGAAGATGACGTCGGAGATTGTGAGAATGGCTATTGAGCACAAGAGCCGACGATTATTTCACGACAAAGCTGTACTCAACATGTGGGTTCACAATAAAGCCACAATAGTTAAGAAATTTGCGGAGCACATGAAGGTAGTTCGCAATAAGGACTCGGTTGTCCACTCGGCCCAGGGCTCTCGCCAACCATTCGTGTACTGGAGGAAACGGAACCCAAGAAGCAGGTATCTCATCGTGCACCAGGAGGACCATGATGGAGTCCAGGAGCTTCGCCAAGAGCTGTGCAGATTAGCTCCCACCATCTACAAACGATGCTTGTAGCGGATCAGCACAGAACTTGTCAATTCAACATCGTCCACACTCTCCACAACATACCTAAGTGCATAACCGACGCACCAAAAATGATATCCTCGTGTCCCACCACTGCTAATTGTGCTAAAAAATACGGCACCGCCCACGGGGATCGAAAATCAAACCCTAAACCTCTAAACCTCAACAACTTCGGCAATCAATTGATGCGTGATGAATAAATGACCAAGAATATGCACACGGCACGGCAGACCAGTAAGCACCGAAAGCTAGAGTTTAGGGTTTGGTGTGAACAGCTAGGGTTTAGGGTTTAGTGTGGACATGATTTTATGACTGTCCAAGTGAGCTCCATGGGCAAATCTGCAGGAGCCTTAGGCCGTCAACAATGGCATAATTATCCTTTATGAGATATTCTTGACAATTATTTTTCTGTGTTAACGCCAATCCATAAAACCTGTGTGTACATTATGTTTCTGTAGTTATAAAATCTTGTATTCAATTGGTTTTGGAATTTGTTTGGGTTCACACTGTCTTTGAACAAACTAAATGTGAAACCTATTCTGTTGATGCGAAGCATATAATTCTATTGTGAGATGACGAAATGATACACAATTCATTTCTCAGAAAAAAGCTTCGATATCACAATATATATATATATATATATATATATATAGTTCACTTTATGATCTATTTGTGCCTCCAACCTCTACAACAATAAATTGTTAGAGTTCAAAGAGCCATAAATCATTAAAAATGTGTAATTTAGATTTTAAATACAACATCCATTGGTGGCAATATTATATCTAAAAATAAAAATGTCCATTCATTATTCATTATACCAACCATATGACTAGATATAATTAATTTCTTCCATAATTCAAATTTCTTTCTATCTTTTATTCTTGCACATTATTTTATAATCCTATTTGCATCAAAATACACTATAATATTGTATATACAAAGAAAACACTTTAAAAAACTAAAACATCAATGTAATTCATTGATAAAAAATTTATCAAGCAACAAACTTAATGATAATATATATATATATATATATATATATATATACATATAAAGTATAGATATTTGGCAGCTAAAGTATTTAAAAAAGAATTAAATAATTAACAATCCATAATTAAGAACTTTAATTTGTAAGACTATTTAGAAATATCCTATATAATATTACAAAAATATTAAAAACTTAAATTAAAATTTAAAGTTAAGAATTCAATATGGTCTTTTTTTCAAAAAAATATTTGAAAATTTTAACTATTAAAGAAGTTAGATTATTTAAAATTAGGACCATTTACAATTATCTATCAAATCAATTTAGTTAATTTTTTATTAAATTTTAACCAAATATATGTAATTAGTATTTTATTATTATTATTATTAATTATAATTTATGAGAATAAAGATTGTTCTTAAGAATCCACATTGCATATAATTGTCTATAAAACCAATACCAACACTCAAACATCAATTATATGGAAGGAAGCACTTACAAGAGATATTCTAAAAGAATTCCATATTCTAAAAAGAATTCCAAAACTTTTTTCACTACCAAAACCACAATAGATATATCAACTTTGGAGCAAGCAACTATTTCATAAGAGAAATCTCTAATCTCTAACAAGTAGATGGACAAATACTCAATAGATTGGTGAAAATGGTAGATGGAAAGATCCACAAGGTTAAAGCCATTGGATCTATTAATATATAGTGATTCAAAAAATTGTTTCATTATTGACATATTTCGAAAGAATGGTGTATTATAGATGAATTATAGTGAATACTGACATGTGGTTTATATAGCAAATAAAGTATTCTTTTATAGCTACCAAATTTGCCCAAGTTGAAAAGAATCCATTAGGTAATTGTCGAACTATGACTAATCCAATTTGGAACAATATTGAAATATTTTTATGAGTGTGGTAACCAATTACATATCAATACTTTATAAGACTTCCTTTGGCCTTCATAACTACTTTCAATCTCCTAGGCATACTTTCTAGTAACTTTTGGTACAAAACTACTTCAATATTATTCCATTCTATAGCAATTCTTTTCCATAATTCCTAAACTTCGTTTGGTTTTATCTTCCAAGTATTGAATTGACATTTGAGGTGCTCCCAAAGATATTCAATAGGATTAAAATCAAAAAGACTGAGTATGTAATAAGATATAGATAAGATATTTGTATTATTGGCACATAGGGATAGATAGTTAGAATCATATTTGAAAAGTTATGGAAGTTTCTAGAATTGGGATTAGATTAGTGGATCAAATAGGATCTACCATAGAACATTCTAAAAAGAATTTAAGGCAGTTATTTAAGTGGAATCTATCATCTAGGAACATTCTAAAAGGAATTTAAGGCAGTTATTTAAATAGGGTCCATCATCTAGGAACATTTTAGAAAGTCTAAGGTGGTAGAGCAAAGTATAAATAAGACTAACTAGGGCCTTTTGGGGCATCTGGTGAGATATGGCTTCGGACTCTTTTCCTTAATACAATTAGATTTTGTATCTTCGTATTTTGTTTTGTTTTGTTTTATTTTGTGTTAAATCCAATTATTCACTTTTATCTTTTGTGTTCCATTCTATTTGATTCTGTTTAGTTCTATTCAATTTTATGCTGATTTAGTTTGTCATATCTTATGATGAGATTTTATATTACTATAGATTAGAAGGATCTTAGATACTTAAGATAGACTAGTCCTATTTTATTGGTATCAGAGTGAGTGTTGGGCTATTCTTTGGTAGTGAGTTGAAAGTTATCATCTAATCCAAGGTCAATTGTTGTGGTTACACTGGGTACCTTGTTGAAGCTACCATGAACTAGTCTTAAAAAGCCAATTGGAAGATGAGAAGGCATTACAATAGTGGAGTCTAGTAAAGAAATTATAGCATAGAAGATATGGCAAAGGAATCCTACATGGAGGCTAAAATACAGCACCTCTTAGACCAGATAGCTACTTTGCAAGGACAAATAGAAGCCTTGAGGATAAGGGAGTCAACATTTGCTAGGCTAAATTTGCGTAAGCCTAATACATACTTTGAGACTTCAAGATAAGAAGATATATGTTAATGGCCCTTCAACATGTGATAATACCTCTAACTATTTATGATAAATACCATTGAAAGAATTATATATGCAACCAACTATTTGAAATATGCGGCAGTTATTTGGCAGCAATATTGAATTCAAAGCTATGGAGTTTAAGGTAGATTTTGTGATTTGGAGGAGTTTGAGACCGAGTTTAGAAATCAATTTTGATCCATCAATGTAGAGAAGATAGCACACGATCAATTAGCAGTTAGCAAATCTTATACAATCTAGATCAGTGTAAGATTATATCTTCAAATTCAAGTCCCTATGTCTCCAAATTGGCAATGTTTTAGAAGCATAGATGATAGATCAATTCCTATGAGATTTAAAACTTGAGGTCCAATGAGAGATGGAATTAAGGGATCCACAAAAATTTGAAGAGGCAATTTGGATTGCAGAGAAGGTCAATGCTATAGATTTTAGAAATTGTAGAGTATGACCTATAATACAAAGTCTTATGCCGCTGTCATATAGCGTGATTTGCTATCTGGGAATACATTGGATATCTAGCTGTAGAGAGTGTAGCTTAAACCTTTATATGAATCTTGTCTTAGCTTCCAAAACTCCTTTATTTTGCATAAAACTCAAAATATAACAAAATCCCTTCAAAACATATTTTTTCCGCAAAGGATTTATTTGTCTCAAACTTTAGAAATTCATAACTCTTGATCTAGCCATTCAGTTCGTCTCAAATTTATAGGATAGGTAGAATTCACCTTTAAATTTTATCACAAAAAAATCAACTACAAATTCACTCTCAATCTTCTGGCATCTAAGAAACCCTAGCAGACGCTTTAAACCCTAATTTACAAGCACCTGAGCTTTATTTTCTTAATATCTCAAGAACCCAATACTTAAATATCATAAGACTTATGTACAAAGTTTACTAACATGAAATTACACACTCCCTGAAATTTTGAGCCAAAACCTTGTCAAATTGCTCAAGATATAGCTCAAGAGACAATCACTAATAAATTGGATCACTTACTACCCTTAGATTGCATGTGCTAAGTTTAAAATCCAATAACTCCTTCACTTCAACTTAGAATCCAGTAAGCAGTATATAAAAAGTGTAGCCGCAAAAACGCTCTCTCTAATTGCAGTCACCGATCCTCAATTGCTATCCGTATGCGTGCGTTATGCAAAAAAGAGTGACAGTAGCTTCCATATCAACACCTTAACTTTGAGTACTTGTATCTCCTTCATATAAACTCCAAACCATACAAAACTTGCACCAAAACCATAGCCAAAATCCTAAACTTGATGATCCTAGCCTTCAAAGTTCGAATGGCCCCGAAAAACTAACCCTAATCTCTAATATGGCTTCGGGCAGCCTCCTCAAAGCCCTTTGGTCATGTTTTTTGACCAATAGGAATGGAGATTTTTATCATTCATCTCAATTCATCTATATTGGTGCCCTAATTATTCCCTTTGCTACCAAAACCCTTCTTCAATATTTTTTCTTATAAGATTTACATAATTTATGCTCTAAACACCAAATAAAATAACCAAAATAAGTTTCCAAAGGTCACCAATGTCTAACAAAGGTGACTCTAAATATTTAGAAGTTACTATCAACCAAAACCAATCTTAAAAGCCACTATCAAAAGAAAATTAAAGTTATACAAATTCTATAGTAATCTTTTTAAACAACCTCTTCTCAAGATAATAATCAAATTATATTCTACAACCAACTAAAATCTACTAATATGGCTCTCACCATGTTACTTAATAAATTATATATTAAGTACATAATTATATTATTTTCATATAATATCCAAACCACAATTTGACACCGCTATCTTATACTATGGCACAATAATCAATGCCAATGGAGATTGATGCCTTACAAAGATCATTGACACTACAAAGATGACAAATATTGATACAAAAAAAATTATATTTTTATTGTTGAGAACTAGGCCATCAAATTGAAGGTTGTCCAAAACGTCAAAACTTAAGCACCAACAAAACAAAGTGGGTTCACACTCTAAAAATTCATCACGTCAATAATAAGACAAGGCAAGAAAACAAGGCTCTCCAATAAAGGCACTGAAGGCCAATATTGGAAATAGCTATTATCTCTCAAAGATAAATGGCATGGCCTTGGACAACTATAAAAAGAATCAACTAGTATATCTAACAAGACTACTAAGGGAACAACCACATCAAGTATTTGTAAATTGTGGCTCTATAAAAAATTACATTTCAACTAAAATTATCAATTAATTTGGAATTAAAATTAAAATAATGAAGAGAGGGACTATATACCTTGTAGATGATCGAGAGAACGTATTGAGTGAGACATGTGAAAAAGAAGCCTTAAGGTTGAATCACACCTATATCTTAAGAGAGAGGTTCAAAATAACAAAGCTAAAATATGATATTATTTTTAATATA